TGAGTCACAATTCACGTTTCAAAATTTTTCTCCGCCATCTTCATCTTCTGTGCTTGTATCGAATTTCTCTCCTTCGGTTACACTCTTCCTCAACTACTCAATCGTGTTCTTTGTGCACAGCCTCCTGGTATCGACTCCTCACCACCGCCTGATGTTGACATGCTTCCTACAGCTATTGATAATCTGCTATCTACTACTGTGACATGCTTCATGTGTCGTCTCTATCTAATGTTCAATATTTGATGGTTACACGATCAAAGAATTAAAGCTGCAAACAAAGCTGTAGCAGCACATGTAGCAGTCAAGCTAGCTCAAGGGATGACACAGAGAAGACTTGCAGAGCAATCTACATACGTGGAGGTGAGCTTGTAGCTGAGATGGAGCTGCAGGACGTGCTGGACACTTCAAGAGACAAGGATGTTACTTGGACAAGAGGCTTGGAGTATCTTGAAGGATTTTGGGAGAATATGTGAAGTTTCCTTCATCTTAGAAGAAATTAAGAGATTCTCTTGAAGATTTGGAGAAATCAACAAGGAAAGTCTCGGCTACGGTTAGCCACAAGTCCTATTGAGTATAAATAGGCATGTGGTTTTGAACACAACTGAGAGAAAAGGATGAGCGAATATTTTGTAAGAGCTTGTAAGCTAGAGTGCTAAGGGATTTGGGTGAGAGGTTCTTGAATCAAGTATGGATTCAATAACAGGGTGAGGCTAGAGTAGCAAATCAAGGGGTGTCTTGAGTTTGCTCTAAATCGGGTTCTGTATACTTATAAGTTACAAACATATTTACTAGTAATATATTTTTCGTGTAGAGAAAATTCATGTGTTGTGTTCTGTGTTAGTTCCCGAGTTATGGCTCTTGCTATTTCATTTGGTATCAGAGCAGTCATCTATGTGTATTGCAAACAGGTGAGATCCGCGGAGAAGGTGGGTTCTGTATTCTAATATTTTGTAAGAGCTTGTAAGCTAGAGTGCTAAGGAATTTGGATGAGAGGTTCTTGAATCACGTATGGATTCAATAACAGGGTGAGGCTAGAGTAGCAAATTAAGGGATGTCTTGAGTTTGCTCTAAATCGGGTTCTGTATACTTGTAAGTTACAAACATACTTACTAGTAATATATTTTTCGTGTAGAGAAAATCCATGTGTTGTGTTCTGTGTTAGTTCCCAAGTTATGGCTCTTGCTATTTCATCTGGTATCAGAGCAGTCATCTGTGTGTATTGCAAAAAGGTGAGATCCACGGAGAAGGCGGGTTCTGTATACTTGTAAGTTACAAATATATTTACTAGTAATATATTTTTGTGTAGAGAAAATCCATGTGTTGTGTTCTGTGTTAGTTCCCGAGTTATGGCTCTTGCATTTTTATTTGGTATCAGAGCAGTCATCTGTGTGTATTGCAAACAGGTGAGATACGCGGAGATGATGGAGAGCTATCAGGACATGGTGAACAATTTAAGAATCATCTTGGATGCCGGGTACTACGGATTTTGGAAAGCACAGATTAGATCTATGGTCAAGGGAATTGATCCATTGGCGTGGAAAGCAGTCATAGAAAAATGGGAAGAACCCTTGGTAGCTGATGCGGCTAGAGTTTTCCATCCAAAACCGGAAGAAAGTTGGAATGAAGAAGAGTCGAAGAGGGCGAAATACAACTCCAGGGCATTAACCACGATCCACATGAATGTTTCAAGGAAAGCATTCCAGCTGATTCAAGGAGTTGAGACAGCCAAGGAGGCATGCAATATACTTCAGATGCACTTCGAAGGAACCAAGAAGGTGCAAAACTCAAGGAAATACATGCTGGCATCGAGGTTTGAGAATCTGAAGATGGAAGAACATGAGTCAATAGCTGACTTTAGTTCAAAACTGAGTGCTCTAGCATAGGAAGCAGCAGTCTTGGGCAAGAAGTATAAGGACAAAAAGCTTGTGAAGAAGTTTCTGAGGTGTATGCCATCAAGATTCATGGGATATAAGTCAGCCTTGGTGTGTCAAGCAGCATGGAAAACCTGAGCTTTGGGGAAATTGTTGGCATGCTCCAAGCACATGAGATGGAACTTGACAGCTTGAAGAAGCCCAGAAGTTTAGCGCTGAAGTGTGAAAACCATGGAGTTGCAGACGCGGAAGATGACCCCATAAGCCTGCTAGTCAGGAAGTTTGATCGCGCATTGAGGAAAGCCGAAAGGTCTCAGAAGAAAGTCACATCAGGCAAGAAAAATCCTGAAGGAGAAAGATGCATCAGAAAAGTGACGTGCAATGTCATGAATGCAAGGGATTCAGACATTTCAAGACTGATTGTCCAACCATCAAGCGTCGAGAAATTCAGTGCTTTGGGTGCAAAGGATATGGACACACTCAACTGAAATGTGTCAACGATCAGAACCGCAGAAAGGAGAAGTCCATGCTGAGGAGGAGTCCGAGAATGAACGTGAAGATGAGTCAGCAGATGGAGTCAATAACTTTGTCACCTTTGTAGGAATTGCTGAAATTGTGAAAGGATAAGAGGACTCTGAGTTAGAATCTGAGAAAGACAGGGAGAACGATCTTGTAAACAGCTGTGAGGAGCTTCGACAGGCGCTCGTCAGCATTAGCAAGGAGAACATTGACCTAAAAAGAGAAAACCAGAGGCTAATCAAGGTGAACGACAAACTGAATAGAAATCTTGATGCAGTATAGAAGCTGAGCCAGCAGAGTGTCACACTGATAAAAGAGAAACTGATGTTGGCGAATAAAGTTGAGGATCTGAGGCAACACTTGAAGAAAGAAAAGGAGATATCAGAAGGTCTTGAAGCTGAGCTAGATCAACTGAAGAAACAGATACAGATGTTCGCAGGATCTAGCAACTGGACAAAATCATGAGCTATGATCGTCAAATCAATATGAAGCAAGGTCTAGGGTACACAGGATGGGAGCAAAAGGATTCAGGTAAAATTAAATTTGTTTCATCCGGATATATGAACCCTGAAGAGCAAGGAACCAGCTCAAAGGGCCCAGGCAGGAAGGAGTGTTACTACTGCAGCAAAGTATGGCACATCAAGGCATACTGCTACAGTCACTGGGAAACAGGAAAGGTTCAATTGGAGTGGTTTCAAGAATCAGATAAGGGTGAAAAATGAAGATTTGAAGTATGTATGCAAGAAGCCAGCATAAAAGACAGCTTCATGAATTCATTGTCAAGGAATCAAAGAAAGCTGATTCGATGTCCCTAATGTGGTACAGAAGTGCAACATGTTATTTGTGGAGGATGATGAAGATATTGCAGATCTGTGGTATTTTGACAGTGACTGCTCACGTCACTTCAAGAGACGAAGAGCTGACTTGGACAAGAGGCTTGGAGTATCTTGAAGGGTTTTCGGAGAATATGTGAAGTTTCCTTCATTTTAGGAGAAGATAAGGAAATAGGAGATTCTCTTAAAGATTTGGAGAAATCAACAAGGAGAGTCTCCCGGCTAGGGTTAGCCACAAATCCTATTGAATATAAATAGGCGTGTTAGAACCTTGTAGGGTTTTGAACACAACTGAGAGAATTCTTAACAAATGGTGAGCGAATTTCTTGTAAGAGTTTGTGAACTAGAGTGCTAAGAGATTTGGGTGAGAGGTTCTTGATCCACGTATAGATTCAAGAACAGGGTGAGGATAGAGTAGCAAATCAACGGGTGTTTTGAATTTACTCTAAATCAGATTTTGCATATTTGTAAATTACAAACAGATTTACTAGTAATATATTTCCGTGTAGAGAAAATCTCTGTGTTGTGTTCTGTGTTAGTTTTCGAGTTATGGCTCTTGCTTTTTCAAGAATCAGATAACAAAACCAAATCAACGATATGCACTCACTATTAATGTTCCATCCGACATGGACATTGAACCACAAACACTAACGCAAGCTCTTAAGAATCCTAGATGGCAAAGCTCGATGGGATGGTGATGAATACAGCTCACAGATTGCAAACCATACATGGGATCTTGTTCCCCCTGACTTGAGCTTCAATCTACTAGGTTGTTGTTGGGTGTTTCGTATAAAAAGAAATGCAGATGGTTTGATAGATCAATTCAAATCTAGATTGCTTGCAAAGAACTTTCATCAATGATCCTGGATTTTAAATTAATTAAAAAAAATTGTCACAAAAATCATTAACATTTAATTATTAATTTATTTTATTAAAAATATATTTGTATATTTTTTGAATTTTTTATTTTATGTGAAATATCTCAAAATTACACTTTTTGTAAAACATAAAAAGTATTTATTAACTTATTTAATTATTTAAATCAAACCAATTAATTAATAACATGTCGATGATGACAAAAATGTTTAAAGAGATAGAGATTCCAAATTTATTACACTCTGATCCAGAAAGTTTAATTTTTTAGCTTTTTTACATAGATTAAAAAATAATTAATGTTTAGTCATAATTACAATATTTTCTCCACTAAACTTTTTCCCATAAATATGAACCATTCATAAGTCATCAAATTCAACTATTCTCATTTAATACCTCTTAAATTAATTATTTAATCATTAAAATAGATAAAAATCTTTGAAAAGTAAACTTTCTGAAACAAGAATATAAAGCCAAAAAATCAAACTTTCTAGACCAAAAGGAGTGTGAAATATATATTTGAGTTTGAATATGATTAAATATACAATTAAATACGTAAAAATATGTTTCTTTAATTAAACATATATATATCATTTAATTGTCAAAGGGCTTGCATGTGGTCAAATTTAAATACTATTAAGTAATATGTATCATCATATAATTGTATATATTTGTTTAATTAAAGAATATTTTTTTGGGTACTTAATTAATCACCTATAAGTGGAATGGTCAAATGTAACGTTAAATAGTATGTTAATGAATATTTTTGTTTTTGACTCTTAAATAGGTAATTAATTATTTTGGTCAAATATACAACTAATTACCTTTTATTTGAGTCAAAATAAAAAAAATAATTTAGTAAATATTGTGTGTATATATATATAAACAATGTTGATAAGAAAATATTCATCACAACATAAGCGAAAACAACTCACCAAAACATAGAAAATCTTTTCATCAAATTTTGCAATGAGGTCTGCTACATTGTTTGTGATCTCTTGTGTTCTCATGTTCTTTGTTATCCACCATGCTAAAGGTGATATACTTATTATTTTTTTTAAAAAAAAAATTTTATTTAGTTGGGTAATATGAAACATTGATTGATGAAAAAATATTGTTACAATTAAAAAAATAAAAGAAAACTTGTAATTTGTTGTATTATCAATTATTTATGTAGAAGACGTTTTATCTATCTTCTAACATTTTTTTTGTTAATATAAAATAGTTGAGGCGAGAAAACTACATGCACCTCAACTTGTTTACATTGCTCATGGATGGGATTGTGGTCCTGAAGGATGGGCACGATGCCTAGCAGATATTGCAGATGATAATAAAGATCATTGGTACACTCGTTGCAGCTGCTCAAATGTTCCCGAGGGACATATGTGTAATTGTTTTCATTAACTATCTTTGATATGATTTACTGTATCTCCATAACTAAAATATTTATATAATCATATATATATATAATAATGGTTTCACTCTCTCCATATTGGATCATTTGACATCTCTTTTAATTTTTCTTTTTCAAATTTTATTACTTAGAATTTTTCTTATTCAAAATTTTAATTACAATGTTGAAAGATACTCCCTCCGTTTTTTATTAGTTGTCGTTTTAGAGAATTTTGTTTGTTTAAATTATTTGTCGTTTTCAGTTTTCAATGCAATATTTATTAGTTTTTTATTTTTGATAATTATTTTTATTATGCAATTTGTTTTATTATTGGTTGAATTGTATTTAAATAGATAATTAATGATGTTTTTATATTGAAAAACTAGTACAATTAATATTTTTTTAATCTGTGTGCATAACCTTAAAACGACAACTAAATAAATTCGGAAGGAGTATATTAAGTATATTTAATTGACGTTTGCACAAAAATATGCTTAGTCCCAAATAAATCACAGCACCATCAAAATATTTTACAATAATGATGAATTTCCATATTAAATGTAATCCTTTTTCTGAGAAAATTAGATATACTAATTTGTAGCACAAAAAAAAACTACACAACTAAAAGGCACATTTATATATATAAATATATAAATATTTGACATCCTTTTCTAAAAATAAATAAATTAAGTAAAAAAAACATATACAAATATACTTCCTTCTTTTTTGGTCGAACAAATATACTAGATATACTAAATAAATTACACTACTACCAATTTATCTTTTTAACAAGCATATGAAACCCCAATTGATATCATAATTCAGTTATTTTTTATAATCCAATTAACCTCTTTTATTGTGAACTTAATTACACTTTTTGGGTCTGTTAATGCATTTAACGTCATGTCATTTTTGACTGAATCAATAAAAGTTGAAGATTTATATTTTAAGTCAACAAAATATGATGAGTTTTACTATTCATGCATAGTTTGTGTTTTTAATGGCTAAAATTTGAAACTTGATTGTTTTTTTGACAATTTTTCCATATATATAAATATAAATATATATGTATATATATATATTTTAATTATTTAATTTAGTTATACAAGTGAAGCCAATTAATTGATGACATGTGGATTAACAAAACGAAAATGATATATTTTCAATTCAAAGAAGGTTTAGAACCTGATGTAGAATTTTACTATGTCAGAAATGGGTACATCTCAAAAGTCTAAACTGTGCGTGTCACGAACTCGGGATCACCTACAAAAACAATGGCTGTTACAGATGGTTGTGAATCATGGGATAGAAATTGAAAATCTTGAAAAAAGTGTAGATGTGGAAACAACAGTTTTGTCGTTGAAGGATAATGAAGAGGGGATCACCACTGTGAAGGAGATCCGGTTCGAGCGTCGTAGTATAGTTTGGGACACCAATTGAGTAAAGCCCGGCTATGTCCGAAGATATTTGCCCCCAAATATATATATATATATATCTTTGAATGTTTTAAAAATCAAACTTAAATAATCAAAAATCAAACTTCTAGAAAAGATTTCAAGAACAACCCACCTACACGTTTCAATGTATTATATAGAAGACGGAAAAAAGACCAAATCTGTAGCAAAATTTCACAATCGTAGAATCAGGGACACACTGACGAATCATATTGTTTTTTTTTAATTAAGTATTTGAATATTCATATATAATGAAAGAGTTTGCAATGAGTAAAAAAGTGAGCTACACTAGTTAGAAATGTAGAATGCACCTTGCCAAAATAAGAATAAAAAACAAAGAATAAGCTAAAAAACAGAACTTGGAAAATTTCGTAAACGTTGGTGAGCCAAATCATAGATTCCACCAAGCTTAACAAAGAATCAAATGAACGATAAATTATATATTGCCGTCTTGCCGATGAATCATGTTGTTCATTTCTGTCCAAAATAGGTAAATCATAATTCGTAATTTGCCAACGTTTAACTTTGTATTGAACATACTTCTATGCTCCGTGATAGTGTTGAGACATCACACATGCCAATCCTAGCTGGCTAACTTTGTATTGAACATAAGACCATCTCCATCGAGGAGATATAGAAGGGTTGTTATGATTTTTAGCTAATAAAAAACTCTGAAAAGCTTACAACTCGTATGCTAAAGTTTTTATATAACAACCTCTGTTAAGAGAGTATATAACAACGTGTCCTATTTTCATTAGCTCTGTGTTTTAATGGTTTTGGGTTGGAAATCGGGAAAGGCCCGTTAGAGGAAAAAGCCCAGCCGCTTAGTGAGAAAATTTTACATTTTAACCACCTGTTAAGAGTATAAAGGATGGACTAATAAAAATAGAGGGGTTCTTAATTTTTTTAAGATGTCAAATTTAATATTAAACAATGTTTAACAACCCCTCATAAAAAATGGAGATGCTCTAAGTTTTGAATTATAACTCTTTAAAACTTTTTATAATATTGTCAGGGTCGCAGTCTTTGGTGATTAGAACTAGACCTGTCAGTTAACATAAAAATATATATGATACATATATATATATAATATAATTTGGCTTAATAAAATTAACTCTAAAATCTTACAATACTACAGTACATACAATTATCGCATCAATATTGACGTGAAGAAAAAAAAATTAAAAGAAGCATGCACATGCAAGGAGTAGTAATAATTCATTGACAAGAATCTTATTTTTTTGGGATTTGTTAGCTAGTAACGTAGATTAGTAATAAGCGCCAAAGTATTACTAGTCGCCCTTGCAAGTTCCTCAACAACCTTCGTTACCTTCTTCTTCGTTTCTTTATTCACTTTCACCTCCTCGAACCCGTCCGTACAAGTCCCTTCGTCGGTCAACGCCGCGCTTACCCAAGTCCTCACGTTTGATATGTGCTCAGCCACCGAGTCACCATCTCTTAGAGTCTTCATCTCTGTGATGGCTTGCTTGAGCTCAACAATTGTGTCCTTCATCTCCTCGAGGCAGTCCTTGAGAATAAGCGTCTCCGGTAGCATTTTGTTTTTTCTTCCGGCGGCTGATTTCTGAGACTTTTTTAGAAGCTTAGAGACAACGGAAGTAGCTTTTTTTGCGGATTTCACGTTGATGTTAAGCGCGGTTGTGCATAGCTTGATCGGGTCGGATTTGATGGCGGAGGAGTAGGAAGATAAGGACTTGTAGCATTTTTCAGGGTATGTTGTCGACTTGCATGCCGTTTTCACGAACATTTTGTGGTTTTGGGAGTAGGATGGTGGAGCGGCTGCTGTTTTCTTGATGTTTGTCGATGTGAGGAAAACAAAGATGAGCATTAGAGAGTAGAGGAATTGCGACATGTTAATGGTGGCAACTTTCATATTTTGTAATTTCATTTTAGGGTTTATCTTTCGGATGTGAACAGATTTATAGGGAATGATTGTGAAGCTATATATGTTGTATCTTGTGTGTATTATATCTATAGAACACACATGCATATTTTGTTTTTATATTGAATGAAATAACTGAGTTGGCCTCTTTCTTTTAAAACGTAAAGATTCTATCGATCTATATGTATAATGTATGGTTTCTTTGTATATCAACAATCATATTTGTATTATTTGTTTTGTAGAGCGTATATATACGTCTGTACGTTACTTTTTTTTTGAAAAATTGTCAAGAAATCGTATAATATATCATGGTCAACTCTCAATTATTCGAATTAGATATTCACGATACCTATCGAATGGTTTTTGTTTATTTATTTTTTCATATACTGTAACAGTAAAGATAATTCAGTTGTGATTATGTATGTTTTTTTTTTCATTTGCTATGGTTAATTAGTGTGTACTCAACCAGGCCATTAAGATAAGGCCGATTGTAATTATAATAGCATTTAATGTCAATACTTGACTACATCACTACACCATTTTGAGTATGCTAGGGATTTCATCTCATTAACTCCTCTCGTTTTCATCTAATTGTTAATTAAGTTATAATAGATGCGAATATCCTAAAAATTATGGTTTGTTTACCATTTTTTTTTTCAAACCTTTTCAGTCTTTAAAAGTTAACTACATGCCTGATATCTATAGAAACTATCATCAGTCGTTATTGCTTGTTTGACGATAACATTCATTAGGGTGTGAAAGGACAAAGGAGATTGTAATTTTCGAAATATTGTAAGTGTGAAAAGAGAAAATAAATACTAGTTATAGGATGTCTTACTTTGTCAGCAAATAAAAGTAGAGCAATATTACAAGTTTATTCCGATATTTAAGCGTAAGGAAATGTTAGGTACGTGGCATGTGACGTGATGAACATGGATTAGATCTCCTCTTTCGGAGGAATAACTCAATCCTCTAATAATTCAAAGACTTGATTATTTGAGAATTGGCCTGTCATGCTTACCCCTACATATTTTTTTTTGTATTCGTTGTCATTTACAAATAGTTTACATAATTTGAACGTATAGTCAACTATATTTTAATATAATAATTAAGTCTTTGGTAGAATTAATTGGGACTCAAAAATTTCAAGATCGATGTTTCTCATGTGATAGAAAATCTAATAAACTGGTACGTGGATAACAATTTTAGATTGTTGAGCTCAACCAGGCTTTCACAGAGATGAAGATGAAACTATTCATATATATGCTTTTTGTTCTAATTCGTTTGGATTTTAACTTTGACAGTTTGACATAAGATGAAACTTAGAGTAACATGTGAGGGGTATATACAATCTATTTATACCCATTTAGCTTTTAACTGTTTTGTTATATAAATAGAATTGCGGATATGCGAAAACAAAATGTTTTATCATTTTATAAAGTCTAAAGATGATCCCAAAGCTTTTTATTATGATCCGAGTTCGAAGAAAGAAAAAAGAAAAAGTATTAGAGTCCAAATACTAATTATAATTCCTATTTATGTTTGGCGGGTGACGCGGGTCCATTGAACATGAATAGAGTGTTTCTTAACGTTCTACATATATATACGTACATGTATATGTTAATTGCAAATGCATCATAGTTACTTACTTACTTGCTAACATAAAAACTATCTACTTAATTTTATCGAGACTCCATCAATGTCATTACGTTATATGACAAATTTTTTTTGCTACTTAGGGGTCATCCAGATTCTTACAAGCCGACTAATTTTCACTAAAACAAGTGTAGTCGTCGAGTAGTCATGCATTCATCTTGGTTTTATGGGTCTTAAGTATGATACCATTTCGGCTGATACAAATAAAAATCGTCACAATAATATTCAAATAGTGACATGTTGTACTTCAAAATAGGAACCCTGATTATAGAAGGAAAAAAGCCAACAATAATATTAGAAAATTGAACGTACATCGATAAAATGGAATAATGAGAATTGGGAAGAGAACCAACAAAAACATTAACATGGGCCACTTGGTATTCTTGGCTGGAAAACAACATATACGTGAGTCTCATACAATACTCGTCCATTATTAATCTTTAATTATATATAGCATTGTCGTCGTTTAAAATTAATTTATATTGCTTCCCGTAGGTACCGACGGACTAATTAATTAGGAAAATTAATTGAGTTGTTATTTTGTTAAGCCTAAGAACGTAACTATTGGATAATGAACGTTTCTCATGAAACATCAAACACCGATGTTTTAAATTAGATAATCAAACAGAGTTTATGGAATACAACTGCATTCTCATGCTTAATAACAATTTTAATTGAATAATCAACGTAAACCCATCTTCTTATCATTATGAGAACTGTGGTTAAGCAACTAGTTAAGGGATAAGAGCAATGCTAAAAAAATTGCTAGCGGTGGCTAGGCGTGTGATAGGAGATTAACGCTTAGACAGATTAGTCGGAGACTAGGTAGAGCCTAGGCAATAGCAAATTTTTTATAATTTTTTTATAAATTTTCTATCTATATATCATATTTTAAAAAAGTTTTAATCGTTTTCTTGACAATTAGTTTGTCAAAATTTATGTTTTAATAAAAAAGTAAGAAAATTTGATAAATAAAATTATAGAATAAAGTTTAACATAGAAACCAAACTAAAAATCATCAAATTCTTCAAACCAAAGTAAGTTTTAATCTAAAAACTTTAAAATGTTATGCAAAGAGAAATCTATCTAACATATTCTTCAAACACATCCATATCCACCACCTGCTCATTTTCAGACTCAAATTCAAAATCAATGGTTATATCATTTTCATCGTCAAAATCGATATCTCCGCTTAGCTCATCACTTTGGGTTTGGTAAGTAGGATGGCCATTAGGTTCTTCATTGATTTGAAGTGGATCGATTAACCATTCTTCAGAAAAAGTTTATGAAGGAATGAGATAAGCGACGGTGGAATAGTGGAGATGATTATATTTATTAATCCTAAACCAACGTTTCAATTTTTTTTTCTTTTTTTGTAAACCGATGTTGGTTTACCATCCAAAACAATAAAAATTAATTGAAATAAAAATAAGAATAATTAGTCTAGATTTTACCGATTTGATCCGATTTTTCCGAATTTCTCCAATTTGGTCTGATTTATTACTAAACCAGATTTGTTTCACTGATTTTATGAAAATCGGATCGGCTAACCCCAAACAGCCCCTAGCCGATTTTTTGAACACTGGATAAGAGTAATCCTAAACTATGTCGTTATTTTTCCTTCTTGTCAACAATGAAGTGACATAAAGATTAGAAGCTATTTAAGCGTTATTTAAGTTTCAAGTTTTACAGGCAATTTTGACTATTAATAAACGAGATTTGTCTCCTTTACGTTGAGATTCCTTTGAATTCAACTATGTAACTAGAAGAAGGTCCTATTCAATTCTTTTGAGTATCTTGGTTGAGCTGAGTTATCTGGTTTCTTAAGCTAGCTGCACCAAATCTATCAATAATGTGTGTTTGAATGATTAAGTAAACAACGGTATACAACTATTCATTTGGTGGAAAAAAAAAAACTAAACGGTACAAAACTTCAAGTTTCTTCTTCATGCAGGAGAATCACAGATGCAATACCCAAATCCTCTGTTTCTCTATGCTGTTTTCGTAGGCGGTGACATATTATTGACAAGAGAACCCGTAACGATGATTGCTAATATCTGCACCACCGCTCCTGCATTCGACAAAATACCCCAAAACATCTATTAGAACCCTCGAATGTTCAACACAAGTGGAAAGAAAGTGTAGATAATAAAGAAACCGAGGACAATATTCCGGAAATTTTACCTAATTGAGCACAAATGAACCCTACGAGCTCAAGCTTCGCTGTTGTTCCCGAGCTATTCCTTTCCTACAAATCATTACAAGATTCTTTCCTACAAATCATTACAAGATCCTTTCCATGTCTTTCGAACTAAGAAACGCTTAACTAACATCTAAAGGACTAATGATGCACGACAAACACTTGGCAATTACTCTTAATGCAGGTAGATAAGAGTTAAATTATGTTTTAGGCAATTTACCTCCATTGTTAATCTGCTCCTAACAGCACAAAACACCGAAAGAACCATGACAACGGTAGATGCAGCTGTGTAGAGCCTCAAAAGATTTGCTTTGCTGCGTCTGCAACCTTTTGTGAAAGAGACAACAACAAATATAAAGAAACCAAAACAAAAACGATGATTTTGATTAATAAAAAGAAGGAGAAGAAGAGTAAGGGTTAACCTAATTCTCCTATTAATGAAGACACTAAGCCAAAAGCAGCAGATGCAATTGCAAGTGTGTTCGTCTCATCCTTTTTAGTCGTTGTCAGAAATGCACACGATAGTCCAATCATATAAATCGTAGCCTGCAAAAAAGATTCTTAAAGATTTGAGCCTAAAAGCAGATAATGTCTCCAAGATCAATATCCAAACTTTTCTTATGCTACACAACTTCAAGAACACTACAATAGTGGGAACCAATATGAGAATTTTGTGAAAAATGAGTATCTATTTGGTAGAGATTAAAGATAAAAAAACTTGGTTAAGCTAGTTGAGAATTAGATTGAGCCAAACGCAATTTCTTCAAACCTGATCACAAACACTACTTTCTGAAACTTGAATTTTGATGATTCAGTATCTAATTTAACCTCTGATGTAACATTTGCAATGCTTATTCACCAATTCGAAACCACGACCAATCAAGCGAACAATCTAACTCCAAAAGAATCAATTTACTCACATGAGGAAAACGAAAAGTGTACCTGAGCTAAGATCAAAGGACGGAGACGAGATTTCCCTTTAGTGACCTTCGTGTAACCTAATAACCCAGAACAAAACCGAGCCCACATGGATCAAGAAGAAATCGAGAGAAATGGAAAATCGGAGACAGAGGAGACTTTTGGATTTAGTAAACTCACGAGAGTCAACGACCATCCGGTATGAGAAATCGGATCCATCGGTGCCACTGGGCCTACCCGCCGTCGGTTTCCTCTGCTGCATCTTCTCCGATGGAAATTGGCACCGTTTGGTCGTCAGAAGCCGTCGTCGATTGATCGTTTGCGTTCGGCGTCGAGCGGAGAGAGAAAGTGAGTTTTAGGGTCACGTTGACGGATCCATTAGATTTTGTTAATTTGGATAGGATTGAACATTCTACCGAACGGAACCGAATTAAAATCGAAAACCGAACCGAACCGAACATCAAAAGAAAAGCAAACTGATTCCAACCAAAAAACAAATGTCTACCTCTAAACTCTAAAAGTCTAAACACGTATAATTCTTTACTGTTAGTAATCGATTTATTTTTCCAATCCTGTAATGCCACTTTAATTTTTTAACATTGTATCTACCGCTTAATTTTAGCCAAGTATACTAATTTATTATTTTGCTTTTATAAATTGAACATGTGTAAAGTGTAGCACACCTATTTAGAAATGCAACCCGGTGCCTTCGACGTCTGTGATTCTTGAGAATTCAGGGGAACAGTAGACTATAGTGAAGAAGACATTGCCCTTTAGAAATGCAAAACGGACAAATACAAAAGACGATTCAGATCAAAAGACACATGGTATCTAATTCGTGAAAATCAGCTGCGTTGTGACTGGGATGGTATGAGCCAATTGGTTCAAGCACGCCACGCCTAAGTTCTCTTTTTTTTCATTAGTCAACAATGCACTTTAGCATCTCCACCGGGGACCGTATGCTAAAGTGGAATGCCAACAATGATCCTTCATGTGTGTTATGCCAACATCCCCTTGAGACAGTGCAACATCTATTTTTTAGCTGTAGTTACTCAGCTCATATTTGGAAACCGCTAATGCAGGAGATCCTTAGAGAAAAATATTCAACAAATTGGAATTTGGTGGTGAGGTTGGCAAAAGATTCTGTAGGTTTGGATCTAGGCTAGAACTATAAGTTTGTATACCATTACGATGATTAACCAGAACGAATATGCAAGAGCGTAAAATAATAGAGACACATCATTTGTTAACGGAGTTCAGCGAACCTACATCCCCGTGACCTAATCCACTAGAAAATACTGCAAACTAAAATTGCTATATGGCATCAACACTGCTATATGGCATCAACACACACCTCTGTCTACCACTCTTTTTTACATAGATTATGGAAACAGTAACAAGCACATCATGTTTGACTACAACTAGCAACACTGGTGCACCAACGTCTCTTCTGATAAGTGCAATTTCCATAGCAAAACCATCAACAGATTTCTTTATTTGTCTGGTGGGACGACGCCATACACACACCGTGTACGTCACACAATAGAACCTTAGGTGCGTGAATTTTTTTTGTTACTGCTTCGTCTTATTTAAACTTCTCACATGAAAACATTAACTCAGCAAGCCCACATCATCATCAACCTGAGACATGTAGTTGGGCTTCTACTTGAGACAGAGCCCACATGACTTCTATTATGAGTTAGATAATCACGTGGCCCTTTTCCATCTTCTTGGATCTTCTCAATAAGACTCCAATGCTTTATCAAACATTTCACAACATGACTTCTCGTTCCTCTTCCCTTCGTTTCTCTCTAAGGACTTCAGCAACAACTCTGTATCACACACTAAGATCTTGTGTAACACACAAACATCTTCTGATCTTTCAGATTCTTTGCAGGAATAGATTCCTATGTTCATCCTGAGAGACATTCTGCAAGGAACCATTTAAGGTTTGTGGAAGGAGAGGAACACACGGAGAAATGGTGAAGCGTCGTCCCCTCCAATGAGTTGGTGAAGCTCATCGACAAAACAGTATGCAATAAACTCAGCAGAATTCAACTTCTAGGAGATCAAACTTTTGAGGGTGGCATCAGATTTTGGTTTGCCACAAGAGAGTAGTGGTGTAAAGAGCTTTTAAATCCCTTTAAAAACTTCAAATTTTGAAGTATTAGATGTAAAATTGCTTTGAGTGAATACAATTTTACATTCAATTAAAAAAGAAAAAAAGTGTAGCATTGAACCGAACCGAACTAAATTGAAATAAATTTTAATGAATTTTAGTCATAGTTTTACTAAAATCAAATTAACCAACCAAACTAAACCTGAATCTCTGAAAATACACCAAATTTTCCAAATTGATTCTCAAGCAACCAAAATGAATCGGACATTCTAATTTTGGTTAAATCGGCAAAATTTTCTGGTCAATGGATATATCAGAAGTATATATTTAACGTGTATTGTTACTGTTAAAAAAACGTTAAACACTAAGGACTGACTGGTTTAAACGCAGCGGTTGCGGTTGTGAATGCAGAAGTTTTTGGAAGCGGGTGATTGTAGTTTTGAGCATTATTAAGCGGTTTGCACGACTGATTAAACTTTTTAAGACGGATCCGATTGCAGAACATTTTTGATTGGCGAACCAGCAGATGTTTTAGCGGTTAAACATAAAATTACCAAAATAAACATTAAAAATAATGATAAAAAAACATAAAAACTATATTCTTATGTTTAATATCAAAATCACTAGTTCAAAATAATTAATAAAAATATAAATAAATATTATATAATTATTTTTAAAATTAATAAATTTTATAATAACATATTCTATTTCAAATGTTGGGAACATTACCCAAAATTGTGTCTATCAATGTAAGGGAAAATTGCTAAAAATAGGCCACAATTTGATTCCAAATGCAAAAGTATACCCCAAATTCAACCTATTGCAAAAATAGGTCAGAGGGGTAGAGAAATTACCATTATCTCCTACATGAGTAAACAATAAAACGGATGTCTCAATTACGATTATAACCCTTCGAAGTCTGCCAATACTAATGAAGTCTGCTCAGCAGACTGATAAAGAAGTCTACTATATTATTAAATCTTATTTTTAAATTTAAAAATTATATAAAAATAATGTAAACTGAAGTTTGTTTCTATAAATCAAATGTCAACAAGTATGATCTAGAAAAATTATAATTTAATAAATATGAATCATTTTTAACCATCTAGGATAAACATAAAAAGTGAAAAGTTTTAAACTAGGGCTGCAGACTTCTTTATCAGTCTGCTCAGCAGACTACGGATCGAAGTCTAGTCAAACCAGAATAATTAACCTAACCGGAATTTTTAACATAGTATATAAAGAAACTTACCAGTCGTTACCATAAATAAAAAAACCTAGATCACTGTAAAACGGCGCTGCACTCTGGTCTCTCTCGCCGCGACTCTCTCTCGCAGTAAGCCTTTCCCGGCGCTCCCCATCTCTTCTTTTCTGTTTCTGATGCATATGTTGTTTCATATATATCACTACATATATTGTTGCTGCAGATCTCAGCCGGCGTCTTCATCGTTCTTAGTTATCTCTCCAGATCTGTGAGTTATTCGCTATTACATTCTCTGTTTAGTCTGTATCTTATTGTTTACTGGTTTGTCCTTTAAAATTGTTCTTTTGTTCTTTTGTCCTTTTGCTTTACTGTTTTTTTAACAGATCTAAGTAAAAATACTTTTTTTCACAGATTCCGTGAGCAAGTAAGTAAAAATATTTCGATTTTTTCTTTATTTCAAGATTTACCTTTTTTGTTATTTTGTTGTTTAGCGAGTAAGAAATATTTTTTTGGAAAGTTTGTTTTTGTTGTTTTGTTTTTAGCTGCAAAGTTATTATGTGGTCGTATCTGTTTTAGTTTTTTGTTTGTTAACTTCCAAGTTTGTTTGCTTGATCTCTACAGAGTAATGCCGATAAGCTACACCAGCAGCTCATCTTCCAAAGCAAGCTACACCAGCAGCTCATCTTCCAAAGCAAGCTGATGGAGACTTTGGGATACCTGAACGATGCTATTGCGGCCTTCAATGTAGATTGGAAGAGTCTACAGCTCCAGAGACGTTTGGCAGGAAGTTCTATAGTTGCCCTGATATATTAGGCGAATGTGTATAGTTTTAATGAGGTTTTTCTCAATATGTGTATAGTTTTAATGTTATTCATCGAGTATAACTGAAGTTTTCGTTTGTCATATGTGTAGGATAAACCGGGTCACATCTCCAAATGGTGGGATCTAGCCATTGAAGAGCAGCTGACCATTCTTCAAATACGAATTGACAAGCAGAGCGAAAGCATGTTCCGTGACCACCGAACAGCCCTTCTGCAATCATATGAGAATCGGCTGTATGCATTGGAGGATCGCCTTGCTGCAACCGAGAAGACCATTAGCGAGATCGAGGAGTTCATAGGGTTCATTCAGAGTGAAATTGTTGGAGTGAAAGAAGCACTTGCTAATCGAGGTTCTGATATCCTACTTTGTGTTTTTTTAGTTATTTTTGCAGTAATCTCTTGTGTTTTCATGCGTTGGGATGTAGAATACTAAACCAAGAGACTTGTGTAACCTTTAAGTAGACTAGTTGGGATAAAACATATGT